AAAACAACTATTTTCCATGGTACTCATCACATGGGCATTTAAGCTTTGCTACAATCATTTTGTTTGGTCGTCTCTCTCTCTCCCCCATCTGAGATGAACCAGTACTACTCATATCCCACCTCACCAACCCAACAAAACATCGAACAAATGAATGAGTAAATGATTATTTCATTTTATTTGTTTTTTTTTCCTATAGTGCAAAATATTTGTCAACAAATGAGTAAATGATTATTTCATTTTACTTGCTAGTCACCGTAACGTGCACAATTCGGTCGGCCTATGCGTAGTTTCGGTCGACCGAATTCACTATCATGGTCACTCTGATGGAAAATCACGGTCGACCATTAACATATAGTGGTCGAACGTTTTAAGTTAGTTGATACTGAAATGGTCGACCACGCTAAAAAATTGGTCGACCTTTCAGAAGCAAAATGGTGGCTTGTAAATAAAAGGAGGTCGGCCACTTGATGACAATCATTACCGAAATGTTTGACCAATTACAGTAACAGATCGATCATATAGAAGACTAAACTCCTATCCATTCATCTATCTCCCTTGACGTGAAACGTAGATCAAAAGTGTTGGTTTCGTGATCGACCGCATGCTGTGAGAGGTCGACCGCTTATAGGAAAATTAGCCAATAACCTTCGACTTTTTGTGATTTTTCATCAAAACTCTAATCCTAAAAAATCCAAATCCAGTGTTTTAGTGGCGGTCACTGTGACATATATTCTTGTTTATAGATATTTAGAACGAGCTTAGGGTGAATTAAGTAGCATACAAGTTAGGGTTACCTTTCTAGTGTTGGAATCCTTATTCAATACAGATACAGTGTAGATTCGGTCGACCACGTAATTCACAAATCGAACTTTTCTACTATTTTCGGAAATAAGTCCTAGTTTCATATTGATTAATTAATGCGATAGAGGTTGACTTTTCAAAAATGAGGTCGACCTTTTAATGCATAAGGTCAGCCGTTTTAACATATGAGGTCGACCTTTTGTGTTGTTCGCTTTCTAAAGAAGTCGACCATTTGATTTACAAGGTCAACCGCGTTGTTGACAGTCATAAAACTGAATCGGTAGATTCGGTCGACCATTCTTAACTTTCGGTCGACCGAAATGTACAAGTTACGGTGACTTGCAAGTCACCGTAGCAAAGTCCAAAAAGTATATATGATAATGTTCGTATGAAGAAAGTTCAGAATATATATATGGATTGATGTTCTATCGAACGTTGAGTATAATCAAAGCTATGACATACTTGTGTAAGAAAATGATATCTAGATCTAGTAGTGGAGCCATTTGAGACCAAGGTAGGTCATTTGCACCACCTTGGCTCAAAAAAATATAGTAGTAAATTTTTATGTAACTTTGGATTGAGTTTAATATGAACAATAACTCAAAACTTAAGGGTTTTTGTTATTACAAGTTGACATTGTAAGTGTTGAACACTTACTGCAATGAATAATGTGAAGAAACACTTCAAAATCAGAAAAGTGATGAAACGATGAATGATTTTTTGGTGGGGTATTTTAAGAATGATGTTCTCCATAATTTGCATGATAAATATATTTTAGAAAATTTCCAGAATATGAAAAACAACATGAACTTATGTTATGTTTCATTCTCCATGTTGGACTTGCCTTGGATGAATTCCTGACAACACCACTATCTAGACTTTGAACTGGCCGAAGGTTGGTGGACTTGGTATTATACCCTAATCTTTAAAGATTAACATCTATGTTTTAATTCTACAAATCTCATACACTAAGATCAAATTAATTTATATTTAAGGTTCACTCAAGGGTTAAAGTATAGTATCATGTCCTAAAATTCGATTAATTCCAACTCTAAATCCTAAACCCTAAATTATAAATCCTAAATCAAAGGCATGACCTTCAATTTTGAACACAAACTCAAAACTCCAAATTATATATCCTAAACCTAACCCTATATCCCTAAACTCTACGACTTTCAAATCAAAGTAAATTTTGAATTATTTTTGTGCAAATTCAATCATTTTCTTGTTAATCATATCACAAGTGATAATTGACATCGTTATGGTGGCTACATCGGTGTACTCACTTTTTTTGTGCATTCAACTCTAAAAGTAGCCGTAAGACATCAAATTTTAATTTATTTGATAGCATTAGTCTAATATGATGATAACATAGGATCAAAAATTCACAATTAATCAATGGATATCCTAAGTTCTAAACCTTCAATTTGAATCCCAACCCTAAACCCCAAATTGTAAACCTAACCCCTAACTCTAAATTCCTAAATCATTAAAATTAAAGTACATCTTGCATAATTTTGTATGAATTCATTTGCTTTCTTATCCATCGTATCACAAGTGACAATTGACATCGTTTTCATATGAATCGCCTACCCAAAATGACGGTTATGAGGTGAGTGCATTGAGTGCAAAAAAAAAAAAAGTGAGTGCATCAAACTAGCGTATGTTAGGTGTACGCTTACCTTATCGTACTCGCGTTGAGTTTTGTTACTTAGACCATGAATATATATATTCTTTAAACTCAAACCTGGAGATCAACAAATTACAAAATGGCAATTGACAATTTATATTTGTCGAACTACAACGAAATTCATCCAATAACCATATCACTTGGAATAATATATATTAGCAGTACGCTAGTCGTTATCGTATATAAATGTACTATTAGATACGAAATATGCAAATTCATCATTCAAAGTCACACACTTAACAGTCAACTATGAGATTTGACTGCCACATCAACCAAATTTAATGGAGTTGGACGAAAAATGATTAAACTTGAAATGTTTAACTAATTTCAATGATCATGAATAAAATTATAAATTTTTAACAACTATATAAACCTTTTTAGTAAATTCATTGACCAAACTTACAATTTACCCAAAATATAAAGTAGTAATTTTGGTTAGAAAAAAAGTTATATGGTGGCATTTGTTTAACGTGTTTCCCCGAGCACTACAGGCCAATCCTCTGAATTGTTAATCTTAAATATCCCTGCACTACATAGAGAGATGATATAATTAACAAATTCGTATTATAAAATTGGAAAATTATTAGAACCAAAAATATTTTGAACTCACGAAGGAGGCTCTATTCTGTGTATCAGATTTGAGATCTCGTGGCCATTGTTTTATTTTATTTTTCTTTTTTATTCTAAATCGAATCTGTCTTGTTCATTGATTTTTCATTGATATATTTCGTAGAAGGATCTGTACAAATTAGCTTAGTTTTGGAGGCAAGGGGGAGAGAAGTTGATATTATTAATTTAGCGGAGCCTACTAAACGTACGGCTGAGATCAACGTGTCGGCCGGGAGCCCACGATCTGCCACCCTTAAATAATCAGCTTCGATTATTTAGAGCTGGATTGCCAATCCAGCAGAGATATAGGACTCATTTGGTTTTGTAGATAGTTAAATCGATGTATTATCATCCATGTATGCATAATAATATATAAATATATTAGAAAATTGGTGTATTCTCGTTTATATTGTTTGGTTTCTGTGATAGTCATTATAGTATTTAAATAAATTATATCATTTTTTTTGGGTGAAATGTCACTTTTACCCTTTGTTTTTAATATAAAAAACCAACACACATAAAAAGGTATGAACATATTTGGAAGAATAAGAAAACACAACTATCTCCATCAAACAATCTCAACGAAAACTTGAGATTTTAACTATCACTCAAAAGTGTCAAATAAAGCAAACAATGGATATATTGTTTGCGAAGAAAATTTAAAAAAAACGATGCATTGTGGACATTGCATGCATTGTAACTATCACAACCAAACTATCACCAAAACCAAACGACCCCATAGTTACTGCCCACTCAATTATAGTTTCTTTTAGTACAACGGTTGCATTTACGGTTATAAAATCTTAATTAATTAGTTTCCATTGAAAGTTCTGTAAGAGAAGGACAAATACTTCTTCAACAATTCGAGTAACTATAATTAATATTAATCGATAACTAAGGTGAGCTGCAAAAATTCAATTATGCATCAAAATTGATAATGATAATTTGACATTTCTGCCAAATTCTACCCGCAAACGTACACTAGCTATAACACAAAAGTTAAAAGGGTGGATAATTCTATAAATTCGCTTTTTGCGGTGAACAATCCTCATATGATCTTGGGTTACCATGGTATATTTAGTTTTGAACGAGCATTTTTTTTTAGGCATACTACAAAAGAGCGAGCAGAGTGATTAATCCTAAGAAAATGAATCTGTCTCTTCCGCTAATGATGATTAATATTATTACATATACAAATAAATATATGAATATTTTTTTCTCACTTTGTATGGCATGTGGTTCATGGCTAAGCTGTTCATCTCTCATCATTGTTGTAAAGCCCCAACCAAAATATTCCCACAACTATATTACTAATTAGAGCTGGCACACCACTCCCTTCTTGTTGTGATCCCAAACAATGACTCACAATGTTTGCATATGAATGGAGGAATATTTTTTTCAAATTAAATATGGTTGTTTAAGAAAAACAAGGAAATATGTATATATTTACATGATTTTGAATAATTTGTGTTTGGGAGAGGCATCTCATCTGATCTGATCTGCCTGTAATGTAATGTAATGTAATGTATGTTTCACAATGGGATTGGGCAAATGCAGTGGGATTTGTGGGCATGCCTCCATGGATCCAAATTCCAAAACCCTAGCTAGGCAGACAATGCCCAGCTTGCTTATTGGCCAGCCTGACACAGCTTCCCCCCACTTTGATTTCTGTGTTTACTATTTAATTTTACTAAAACAATCTTAAATTCCTCTTCATGGCATGATCTGCTTCTGCTGAATGAGAGAGAGAGAGCAAGCTTATTATAATTATCTAGTATTCTGTAACAAAAGAAAAAAGGGAAAATGGAAAACAAAATCTGTATATTTTATGGCAATCTAGTGGAGTATATACTGATGGAGAATGTGGAGGCAAAGGCTTTCTTTCCCCATACCAAACAAACTTCAAATCTTTTTTTCCCCTCTCCCTCTCTAGTCCTGTGTGGCTCTCTCTCTCTCCCTCCCTCCTTTCTTCTTGTATTCCTCTTGGGGCAAAAACAACAATAAAAACAACAAGACCCCAATAGTTGGCTTTTTTCCCCCCTCCCTGCAAAAAAGTTGTTCTTCCTTCACAATCAGAATCACAAGGCAAGCAACAACACCTCCTCCCTCTTTCATCTTCTCATACCAGCTGATCCTTCATCATCTTCATCATTTGAAGCCAGGTGAGCTATATCCTTCACTCTTAATTTGTCTTTGTCTTTAGTCACCACCTTTCCACCCACATCTTGCATGATTAAGACAGACTAGGAAGAAGAATATAGATGTTTAATATGCAGATTGTGCAGTTCCCTTCTGCTCACTTCCTTTTTTTTGAACTATCATCTTTTGTAATGTTTCAAAAGTCCCAACTTTCTTTGGAAACCATAATTGAAGTCTTCCTTTAGCTTCAACCTCATCAATAGTCATTTAAGTGTGTTTTTACTGTTTGTAAGGATCAGAAGTAGTGTAATAGGATGAGTTCACTTCAAAAGCAAGATGGAACATTTTCTTAATTACCCTGAAACTATGATTAATAAATTCCCCCATGTTTAATTAACTACATGTGGGTTGACAAATTTCTTGGATCCATCTAATGACAATCCCATGTGTATGGATGGAGTCATGTGGTTCCTTCCATCTGATAAGGAAAAAGGGAAGAGCTTTTCTTTTCTTGGAGAAGTTGATGCATTATTTGTTGATTGGTGTTGGGGGATTTCCCCTCCTAATTATCACATGTGTAGGTCAAAAAGTTAATTCCACCAATCAGCACAACCCTCTTTTGGGTTTCTTTTCATTGATGTTTTTGTCTAGCAAATGAAGGGGAATTGAATGATGAATGTGGCCCAACTGGATTTTGAAAGGAATAACTCATAAGCAATTGTCCAACTAACAGACAAAAAATCATAGTACTTGTGCTTTGATATTTTTTTTTCTTTTTTTCTTTTCAAACTGTGTCATGGAAATATGTACATGGCATGCTGCTATTTCTGGAGATATTTCTTTTTCATTCCTTCCCACCCCAGATACAAGTTAAAACTTACCTGTGTCTCTCTGGCCTTCATATTCAGGTGCCAGAAAAGTCAACAAAACAGTTGCTCTGTCTGTTTTGCCACACACATGTGGATCCAGATCATCTGATAATAATCTCTAAACCAGAAAGACTTGTTCTTTACTTTCCTTTGTTCTGCCACTTGCACTGCCTCAAAAAATGGAGAGAGTTCTGAAGCCTTATGACAAGGAATACATGAGACTAGCCATGCTAAAGCATGAAGAAACATTCAAAGAACAGGTACCCTTCTTTTCACTGTCCAAGTTCTGGAGTTTAGATAATCTGTATGAATGTTTCCAATTTAGTATTAGAGAAACTGATATATTTATGTTATCTGTGTTGATTGTTGTTCTTCTTGCAGGTATATGAACTCCACAGGCTGTACAGGATCCAGAAACTAATGATGAGAAGCATTGGCAAAACCAACAAGAACACCAACAACAACCAACATCAGATTCCCTCCAATAAGCACCAGGAGTTGTGGAATAATGGATTCAGTTTCAACTCCAGGAGCAACAATGTCACCAACATTGTAGTTGCTCCTCCTCCTTCTAATCATCTTCATCATCATCATCATCATCATCATGACAAGTTAGCAGTGAAGCTGGACTTGGAAAGAAGGCCAGCAGCAGAGGAATTCGCAGAGTCCAACGGGGATCATGTTGAAGAAGAAGAAAGGAATGGAACAGTTGTCATGGAGGAGTGTGAGATTGAGCTAACACTGGGGCCAGCTAGTTACTGTTCAAGGAGGAAGAAACTATGTCAAGAGGAGACAGCGTTGACTTCAGAATCAGGAGGTGGAAGCCTGTCTTCATCTTCAACCGGGTCGAGTCGTATTAACAGGAGGAGCAATAAATTAGGCAGCAGCAGAGTAGATGATCCGGAAAATGGGATGATGAAGAAGCAGAAGCAGAATAGCAATGTTGATAATAATGAACAGCTGACAAGGCAACAACAACAGGATAGTAGATTAAAGCAGCAGCAGCAGCAGCCTCCCTGGCTTTACCAGGTTCTCAGCCTCAAAATGACTTGAAATAACAAATAAAGTATCAAGTCAGCTTGTGAATTGGATGGTAGTCTGGAAAGATGGGGTTTTTTTTCTTCTTATTCTTCTGGTTTTCTTTTCCATGGTTAATTTTTCCTTTTTCATGGCTAGATGGAAGGGTTTCAGGAAGGATATGTCAGGCTTTGGTGTAAAGATGACTGACTGCTTTGTTTTTGAGCTCTCAAATCAACTAGTCTTAGTTAGCTACCTCCAGGTTTCTTTAATTGACTACTTCCCTCTTTGCTGATTTTCAGGGTGGCAATCTGAAGTTTTAACTCTCTGTGTCACCACTCTTTGCTTGTTGATGTCAATATTGCAGAAACAAACAGCATGAAAATTTATGCAAGAAAAAAAAAAAACAAGTTTCGTATTAATGTTACCATAATTAAGTTTCTCTCAACAACTCAAATTTGTAAGAAATCGTTAATTCTCGAACATAAATGTATTGGATCAGCCGAAATGAAATTCCCTGAAAAATCTGATGTGAGTTTATGGCTGTCAACAGAAGCTACAAAAGAAGAAAAGAAAGTGGGGAAGATCTTATTCTGGACAAGTCAATGGGCGGATAGAGGGAAATACCCAATTTTAATATGAACCCCAAATCTTTCTTCTTTTTTTTCTCAATCTGGGAAGTCTTTTTACAAGATCTTTCTGCAAATTTCCTACTATTATTTCTGTCCAGTTTCTGGAACCAAACTTGTGGGTTTCCTTTATTCCTAAGGAAACTCTACTCATGTATTGGGAAATCCAAGGTTATTGCTTTCTGCTTTTCCCCCCTTGAAAAAAGTCTGAACCATCAGTCCATGACCATAATAGACAGAACCCGAAAGAAGTCCTGTTTTGATGACACCATGGAAAACGAAGGAATCTTTTTTTTCTTTCTTTCTTACTAACCCCACCCTTTCCGCCATTGAAGCAGAGCTGGTATATATTAGTTTGTCGGCCACCGGATGAACAATAGATTCCCCTGAAACAAATGAAAAGAAGAAGAAGAAGAAGAAGAAAAGGGTACTCTGGCTTTTCAGAGAGATTGTTGCATAAAGTGATCTGTCTCATGAAACATACATTCATCGAATAGCAGCAGCATTATTGGTATTATATAAGCAAATGTGAGCTGTTGGGAAGTGCATTATTATTATTGGGGTGATATGATAATCAACTAAGGGGCATGCATTGCCCACTAGTGCACGCCTGTCCCTTATTTGACCTCTTTCCCCTCCACTTTACCCGGAAAAGTCTGTCACTAACTTGAGATAAGAAAGAAAGAAAGAAAGAAAGAAAGAAAGATGGTGTTCTTCTATCTTTTCCCTTTTCACCCTTTTTCCTTTCACTGAAACGAAGTTCAGATAAGATAGCAGATGATGCACTGCCTGGACCAAACTGCATGCTGTGTCCTCAAATCTAGAGAAATTAGTTGCAGGGGCTCTCTAATCTTGACTTGAGATTGCTTAATTTTGTCTCATCTTTAAACCCTTTTATTATTCTGCACAGTAACTCAAATCAGAAAGTAGAAAAATAATGGTTATCTGTGTCGGTGGTGGTGGTGTTGCACTGTTTTGTTGTCTGTCACGGAGCGAGCTGGTGCAGGTAGGATCCAAAGTGGCGTCATTAGTCACTATCTCCGCTATTTGTAAGCTACTTCGGCATTTTTTTTCTTCTTCTGTTGTTACGTGTTTATATGAATGATAAATTATGATGTAATGCTAGTTTGGTCTCCCGGAATGTTTAAATTTTGTATGATTCGTGGGATGAGATAGGAGCGGATTTTCGGGGGGTTTGGATGCATTTTATTCAAATACAATACTGGGGTTTATCAGATCTAACTTAACAAATAAAAGTTCTAAGTTTATCTGGTTTATTACTTGTTAAATGAAATCACTTTTGGTTTAAGAAAATTTTTATATGGTACAAACGGAACTTGTATCTTTAGCGTTTGTACCTATATATATATATTTTTTTGTAAAAATTAATTTATGATACAAACTAAATTTGTACTTTTATATTATGGTACAAACCGAAGCAACACGAGAGAGACACTAGCAACCAACAGTCACCATAGACGATATTTACAACAAGTTTATGACAGCGAAAACTCCTCATTAAACTTAAAGAAACAGTCGCGAACAAGATTAATGAGCCGGTACCCCTTGCTGTCCAAACACATATATTAAGTCACACAAAATAAGATGTCGAGCAAACTAGGTCCTCACCGGGATTTAGAATATGAAGATGATCACTCTATACTTAATCACTGGGGTCAGGACCATAATTCATGCAAAAAAAAAGTGCATGTTATAACTCTTAATCTTGTCATCTCTATGTCATGAAGCTAGTTCCTAAACACTTTGCAGTGCAACTGACTCTCTAAAATCGGGTCACCACTAACTTGTCAGGAGGACTTTTGATTGGGTTGTAACTTGGTAAGGGTCTAGGACATGGGAACCATGTCTCTGTGGTGGTGAGAAACATTTACTGCTCAAGGTTCCACATATCTCAAACCATACCACATAAAACTCGTCTTTTCCTGCTTAGATACACCTTAAGCACAAGACTACATGAGGAAAATTTTCAATCTTTAGGAGTTGCTTACTCATTGGACCAGAAAAGGGTGAATTTAAAGTGTGGTGACTCATATTATAAGTTTGTTTCACGTCTGTCACTCGAAATTTTTTCCTATTTTTCGCCATCAACATTGCACATTTATGTTACCCGTAGGCACTCTTTATCCAACTCTGTTATCTTTGTCCTAGGTGGCAGTCAACTCTAACACTTGACTATTAAATTGTCGAGTTGCCAATTTCAAAATAACAAAAAATAAAACACAATCAGAATTCAGGCTTTACTATTGAAAATTTACCTGAAGACTCCAATAACTTGTATGCACCATTCAGTAGTGAGCAATGCAGTGAAAAGTGCGATTCTAGCTAGAAGCGGAAAAGGGGTAAAATCGTAAAGTGTAGAATCAAAGCGTATAACGGTATAAGCGTAAGTTTTTTACGCATACTGTAAAATAGCAAAAAATGTGCTAAGTACGACATATACTATGTAAAATATGAGTGCACAAAATTTAGATAATTTAATAAATACCTGCAATTCTTGTCTAAAGTAGAGCAACTCATAACATCTTAACAATAAGTTCATAAACATAGATCTTAACATATTATTGGTGATTTACCTTTAAAATATACTTTCTATAATTAATTTAATGAAAACAATACCCATTTAGTGAATTAGAAGCATAAAAGCGTAAAGCGTTTTAATTTGGTAAACTAAAAGCGTAAAAACGAAAACTTTTAAGCTTTAAAGTGCAATTTAGTCCGATTTTATATGAAACGAAGGAGTTTTGGTGACCTAGAAGCGTATTTTAAGTTTTAAATCGCGATTTTGATTGCATTCATTGTGAAGATGTCGGGAGGGTGATTTTTTTAATGAAAAAGGAGAAATTGTCTGTACCAGATGGTTTCCTTCCAGAATTCTTTAAGAAAATTGGGATTGTTGGGATCTAATATTATCAAAGGAGTTCATGAATTTTACCACGGGACACATGCTTACAAAGGTAAACTCAACTATCCTCACACTCATCCCTAAAGTCCCAAATGCATATATAATGAAAAATTTCAGAACCATAGCAAGTTGTAACCCACTCTACAAATGTGTCTAAAACATTATGTCCAATAGAATCAATAATGGGCTTCCTACCATTATTAGTACTAGGGCTACAAATTTGGTACAAGTACTTGGGATATATTGAATATTGTACCAAATTTATCATTATTTGGTATTGCCGAATACTGGCTTATTTTTTAGGGATTGGGATTGAGATTCATTTTACCAAAATACAGAGAAATACCAAAAATATAAAAATTAATGCAATATAGCACACAACATTTGGTCATTCCTCACTATTTCCCAACTTAGAAGCCCCCATCCATCTCAATTTATACTTTCCAATTTCAGTCACTTTCATACCTTACCTAATCTCTTGTTATTTTCATAACACCAAAAGCAAACACCAGTATTAGTCGTCTCTCGGCCTCCAATTCGTTAAATTAAAAATTACCAATGACAAAAATTTGAGAAGTTACATCTCCTCCATTCTCCTTATCTATATCCTAGCTTTAGGCAAACTCAAAACTCGTTACTTAGTCTCTTTGCCCCATATTAAACAATCAAAACTAATTTATATATTTAAGTATTAATTGTAAAGGTAATTAATTTCGTATTCGATAATACGAATTGGGATACCGAAATTATTTAAGGATTGAGATTGAGATTGATTTTTGAGTGTAATTCAGTATTCGAGATTTTGGTATTTGGTATTGGGATACCGATACCGTACCGATTTCCACCCTTAATTAGTACGAACCACTTTGTTTTAATCAAAGGAAGATTAATCAATGTTAAGATACTTCTTGCAAATGAAATGCTCAAGTGTTATAATAGGAGATCAGTTTCAGGAAGATGTGTTGTAAATGTTAATATTATGAAAACGTTTAATAGTGTAAACTGTTTTTCCCTTCTAGATACCATGGCAGCAATGGGGTTCCCAAAAAAAAAAAAAAAGGTTAACTGGATTAACACTTATCTATCTAGTGCAAAATTTCTAGTATATTTCAATGGGGATCTGACCGGAGGTTTCAAAGCACAAAAAGATTTTTGGGTTGAAGTGTAACCCTGAGAAAAATGAAGTATTTTGTGCAGACATGACGAAGGATGAGAGGAAGGAAATTGCTGAATAGTCTGGATATCAAATGTGGAGCTTGCGAGTTTGGTATTTGGCCTTACCACTAATAGCAGCTACTCACCTCAAAAGATTGCAAAGTTTAGTTAGAGAAGATTACAAAGAGTATCCAGGATTGGAAAGCAAGAATATTGTCCTATGCAGGATAGATCCAACTAGTCATTTCTATGCTAGCAAGCATTACTTAGTACTGGATGAGCATATTTCAGCTCCCATGCACAATTGTGAAGGAAGTTGAGATGTTATACTCATAGTTCCTTTGGTCTTCAAAAGAGAAAAAGACAAACTATAAGTTGCCTTGAATATACTCTACCTAAGGAAGAAGGTGGATTAGGTTTTCAAGGCTAAGACACTTATCGAGGGGCATATGCAAGAACAAGAGGAGGGTGTATTGTGGGAAAAAGGGAAGGTAATCTGCAAGTATTCTGTAAAGGAAGTGTGGGAGCATCTCAGCCCTGAGTGTCTCTATTTTAGGTGTTGTTTGTAACAGCAGATGAGTGTGGTTAGGGTTTTTCAAGCCACTGGAATTTCATGCCAATGTTGGATGGTATACAGGAATGATGGAAGCCACTGAGAAAGTGAGAAGTAGAAGGGTTTTATGGGAATAAAAGTTCCAATATGATGGAGCTGTTGAGAAGTTTGCAAAAGACTAGAGTGAAAGTTACTGAGAGATGCAGAGTTGGCTCTTACTGTGAGTAGGAAAGCATTGTGGTTCCTCTCTTGATGTAATACCAGAAATGCAGTCTTTTGTTTTGTCCTACTTTTCCCTCTAGTAGTTGCAAATGTTAGCTAGAGCTTAATTATAGTTTGTTCTGGCTCTCTGTTTGTGTAAAGACTTTTGTTGCAAAAAAAAAAAAAAAAAAAAAAATTATCATACTACTTCATGAAGAAAATATCCATCCATCACAAGAATTTAGTTTCATCTGTTCTTGTCCTGGTCACAATGATTACAAAAATATTATTTACATTATCATAACACACAAATTAACAAGAGCGGTATAATAGTAACCCAAAAACGTAAAAAAAAACCAATACAGAAACGGACGCAATTATGTACTAAATAAACACACATGATGCACGCAGACTTCTTGATGTTGCGGTCTCAAGATACAGAATGGCGTCGATCTTTAGGCGGCCTGGTGCGACCTTTGGATGGCGACACACCATCAAGACGCACGAAAGGGTTTATCTTCCCAAGCTTCTTCGACACCGAGTTGATGAACGACTTCTTAGAAGGAGGAGGCAGAGGAGGCTTGTCTGCAGAAGGTGACGATCTGCTTATCCCCATTGGAGTAGTAGTACTCCCAGCTGCTGGCCTGGCACTACTAGTAGTACTGGACGATTTCTCGATTTCCTTGAGCTTCATCTTCATCTTGAGCAGCTCGATCTTCAGGTCCTGGTTCTCTCGCTTCAATGTGGAGAGCTCGTCGTTGTAATGATGATGAGGAGGGACGACGACGGGATGGATGTCGGTGGAGTGGAGTGGGACCTTGGGACGAGTGGGATGTTGGTCGACCGCATTGCTAGTGGGAGTGTTGTTGTCGTTGTCAATGGTGTCTCGAAGGCGTTGTTGCTCGTAGTAGAGGACTTGAACGACGGTTTGGACTGGGAGCCTGTCGTTCTGTGCGGCGTGAGCGCAGGCCTCACGAGAGAGTTTCTGGCAGTCCATTACGCTGCACACTTTCTTCCTCTCCATGTCGCTTATCCCTGGATGAGCCTGTCAAAACATTGATTTAACCAACTTAAGACGATATTAAACACATAAGGGTAAATAGGAAGCACAGTTGTCGTATAGTGGTAAGTATTCATGTCTACCTCCCATCCCCCGGATTCGATTGAGCTAAGATCTGGTGATTAAGGGGTGTCCTTTAGTAATATGGCTAAGTTTTCCCAGCAGGCGAGAAAGAGAGGGAGAGCTTTTTCGTCATCGACGAATTTTTCGGCAGCGGGGGATATTCCGACGACAACGTCTTTTTTGTTATGTTTGTTGGACAATTTTGTTATGTTTGTAAGTATGTTTTGTGATTTTGTATCAATCTGGTTTGTTTCGTTTCTCATTTTAGTATGTCATTTTATCTATTATGTTTGTAATGTTTATATGACTAAATTGTATACATTGTAATTTGCAATGTTTGTTTGTCTAGTTTGTATATTTTGTGTTGCGATTTGTATACTTTGTATTCATTGATTTGATTTTTAATACAATTTTACTGTTTTGTATTGTAAGTAGTGCATTTTGTACTGTTAAGTATGTTTTGTAATGTTTGTCGGTCTAGTTTGTATGCTTTGCCGCTCTACTTTGTATTGTCCGTATGGTTTGTACCGAAAAACAAGCATAAAAAATCAGATAATTTCTCACAAAAAAAATCAGATAATTCATTGTGACAAATTGTGAAAAAAATCACTTTTGGATAAGAATGTGAATTTTTAATAGGCTTAGAATACGGTGCATCGTCAGTAACTTATATTGATTTGAGATGAAGCAATCCTGCGACTAGGATTGATACTGACTGGAAATGGATATTTTGGTCTTGCATAAACAGATATAATCTCATTGTTTTAAATGAGCCCGGATCTAAGGAGTGATAAAAAAAATATTTTTTATATTTTTTCTAATTTATTTAATTGGCTTTTATTTTCTTCGTTCAAATTTGAATTTTTTTTCCCACAGATGAAACAAATTTGTTGTGATCTATAAAATGAAAACCATTTCAATATAATTCGAGAAAAAAATTTCATACCACCCTAGTATCACCTTCATTTTTAACTAGAATTTTGAAACTTTTTGCCAAAAATAAAAAAGTTCATTGTGATCTATTAGATTTACAAATTTATGGAGCTAAATTTTCATGACCAAATATACTACTTCATACCACCCCTAGTACCATCTTGGTACCACCTAGTACCATGTTCATTTTTAACTCCAATTTTGAAAAATTTAGCGTAAAAGGAAAGAGTTCATCGTGATCTACTGATATACAATTTTCGAGGAAAATAGTTTCAAGACCAAATATACCATTCTATGCCACCCTTGTTTTCATGACCAAATATAATACTTCATACCACCCTGGTACCATGTTCATTTATAACCCAAATTTTGAAAAAAATTAAACCTAGAAGGAAAGAGTTCATTGTGATCTACTGGATATACAATTTTCGAGGAAAATAATTTCAAGACCAAATATACCACTTTATGCCACCCTTGTATAGGGTGGTAACTGTTGATAGATGATGATGAAATGTGTTAACGTATATCCTAATATTATATATACAATCATTCTACAATATTATATATTCAGACCACCATGGTACACTTCCATACCACGTGATATAATCTTATGTACATACCAAGCAGTACCATATGATATTGAGTGGTAATAAAAATATTAATTTTTTATTAAAAAATGTATAAAAATGAATGTCATTTTGTAGAATTTATTTAATCTAACTTTTCTGTGCAAAATTATTTTTAATTTTTACTTAAAGTGAAAGAGAAATATCCGATTAAAATTCAATGAGGGTATAGTTAGATACCTTCCATAAATAGTCAATGCAAGGTTGTCAAATTTGCTTTTTCGAATTGTCAAATGGATGACTACTTTACTATTTACTATTTTACCCCTCCGTGTATTTATTATGTCTCGTACAAAAGCTAACAATAGACTGGGGAGTTATGCACAGTTAGTCAGTTACTGATCACAAGATAGTGGACAATCACGGTTATTTAACCCTCATCTCCTTTAAACTTGTTACCTAACTTTTACTTAATAAGTTGTCTAATAATGATAATTCTCACAATAAATTACGCGAAAAACTCGCTTTGAAATTAAATGAGTATAGAAATAATAAATGATTTTTTTTATAACCGAGGAAAAATTCTCACGCACACACCATTAATTGTGATAGCGAAGCGAGATCAAACCAGGGAGCCACCTGTTGCAATCTATCAGAAGACTCAGCTTATCAATTATCATGATGCATTTGATTGGTTTTCCTCCTTTAATTTAAGCATACGGCAGGACATCAAAATTTAATAGCATTCGTTCAGTCCAACTCTTTTTTATATCACAAACAGGTTCGGTGTGGTTGCCGGCGAGAAAAGTGTGAACCGAATCATTCACCCTACAAAATTGACCCATGTAACTCGGGTTCTAGTTGTAGAAAAATCCATAAGATGTAACTCGGGTGCTAAAACAGAAAACTAAACTGTGCGTTGAGGAGAGTTTAAGGGAGTGCACCTTAAGGTATATGTCAATGGCTCGATATATCCCGTCTTCCACAATCCTCGACTGTTCAGGAACAAGTTCAGCAAGACCAATGAACTTCGAAACGCCCAAATTCCGGTCCGAGGCTATTTCAGCCAAGTAATTCTCCATCAGCTTCCCAACCCTCTCCATATCACTCAGCTGAAGAGAGCCATAATCATCGTCACCAACATGGTACCCACCCAATCTGATTTTCCCAGCAGCTTCCGCTTCGCTTTCAGTGTAGTTCATCATGATCCGCTTCACTGTATCCACATCGAACAGCGTGTCCCCTGTAAATGAATATGCAGGAATCAACAGATCGTCTAGCACAGCTTGGCCTAACTGTGAAGCCATCCTCTTCTCCAAGTCAAGCCTGCAAGCAACAGTTGTCTCGAGGTAGATTGCAGCTCGAAGCAGCATGGATAGGAAGCTTACAGACATTGCATTTCTCTCCCTCGGCAGCAGGCTCACTATGGTTTCTAAAACAACCCTTTTTTCATGCTCTTGTTGCGGGTCGATTTTTTTCTTAGGCTTGCCAAATGTCTCCTGCACCATCAAGGAAAAGGAAAGTTTTAGAACCAAAGTCACGAGCGAATCAAATCCGTGCACACATATTTCCAAAACCTTCTCAACTTATGAGTTATGTAAGTTCATCCTCCTGAAGCTTAATCAGTCATCATTTATTTACATTTTTTAGTCTTAAAAGGACTAGTGAAGGTATTCATATCAACTTCATCTATAAAAGTCACAATCCATTTATAAACTCTTACTCATAAAGCACTCTTATCCAAACAACAAAATTTTGAAAAGCAATAACCATCATTGTCCATCACTTTTAAAATCCAGGGATTTATTATAAATCTATCACTTTCGAGAATCAACATTCAAAATCACCCCTCAAAAGTTTTCATGGCAAAGTTCTTACCAAACCTCGGAGGGACTTCTGAGCATAGAGCATGAGTACAGGGCCAAGGGCATACTGCTTGAACCCTCTCGACACCATTGCAATTAGAACTCTCTGAAATAGATCAATCCTGAGAACAGTTAAATCTTCAGCCCACCAATGAACTATAGGCTTTGGTTGGGCCTCCAATGTAGTACCACCGTCAGACCTGCCTGAGATAGAGAATTTGGTTTCATTGCAGGTAATGAGTGCTATGGCATCTATGCATCGGCTCACCAGCTTCACTTTCTCTGCAATATGGCCGAGGCTTTCCGAATGGTGCAAGACAGAAACTGCACCAGTGAGGCTCTTGAGCACCACCTCGTTTAGGTAGGCTTCTGCTCTCGACACCAAGTTTCCAACTGAGCAGTCCTCAGTCATTTCCAGATACTCTGCCACGCATCGAAGGACTGCAATGTTTTCTGTGCTTATCTCGAAGTTGATTCCGTAGCAGAACTTTGCTGCGAGTTCAAATGCTTCTGGCCCACCGGGGATCTCGGGGATTTGAATCTCGGATAGATCAGCATCACTACTTTCGGACACTAGCTTTCTTATGTAGCCTGACTTTGACAACAAGGGAAACTGCAATTGAAGCAAAGCATATATGGAATTAACAACCAGTGGAGAGACTGAAAGTTGTCAACATCACAAATTTAGAGAAATGTCCCAAATTCAAATCTTGTGGCCTGTTAAGACTTAAGATTAGCTTGGAGGCATTTGATCTTGAGGCAAATCACAAAATTCAGAGTCACAGTATTTCAATTTTGGTTCAACTGCCCAACTTATTCTGAACAATACTCTACTACTTAACTGCACTACAGATATTAAACAAACTACAGGAGTCCAGAAGCACTTGCTCAACACTGTTGTACCTTATGCAATGAGAAAGAAGCTCCACCAGCATGAACTGTAACATCGCTGGAAATTTCATGGGAGAAAATCCTGAGAAATGAATAACAAAGGAGGAGCAACCATAAGTAAATTATTACAGGTAAAACTAAAGAACCTGATGCTGCCTTTTTCTGACAACACTCTGTTGAAGAGATTCAGAGACTATTAAATATACTGAGTAGTAAAGCCACTAACAGGAAAAAGGGTAGAAAGCAAACCAGTCACTAGTTCTCTTCATGGCAGCAGAAAGAAGCTCCTTCCTTTTTGACATGCTATATTGAAAGAAACAGTTGTTGTAGTTGGTGGTGCAGCTTCCTTCTGGTGATCATCAAGCTCCACCATGGCAGCGAGAGAGAGAGAGAACAACTACTTAACAGAAAGAATCATATCGCCATCTGGGCTTTTCCCTAATAATAATGGCAGTAGAAAGCAAATGCTGCTCCCCTGAGCCAGTCAAAACATCAAACACCTTAACTGCAATTACTCGGCCAAGTGGGTTTGTAGTTGCAGTGAAACATCCATCTCGCAGGACTTCTTTGTACACATCTGGCTTCCCCTCCCTCGCCTTCTCTCCCTTATTCAAACCACTCAATTATGGTTGCAGCTGAAGAGCACCTCCCCTCCCAACTGCAAAGGTAATCACATTCAAAGAAGAGGACAAAACAGGGGGGCTCCAATTCTCAGCCTTACAATAAAGGAATCTCATCTCACTAAAATGGCCTTTCATGGGTACCCATCAAAAATAGGAATTTCAATTGGCATGGAATGTAATTACAGGGTGCGTACAAATAAAGATTAGGCTGAAAGAAGATTTTCTGGATAACAGTACAGAGTGGAGAAGGGAAAAGATGAGATGGATGCATGTTAAATGGCGGGTAATAGGTATTAGGTATCCACGTGGGATTGGTTCATATCCACACCCACACAAAAGTTTCAATCTTTTTAGCTGAGTTTTGGGAGCTTCTGCATCCACCATTCTCTTCTCGCTAATTCTCTGTGGTTGGCTGGATGAAGGAAAAGGACAAGACCGGACCAGAGAAACACTAGCGAGAGAAAGAAAGGAGAGGGGTCGATGAGACTTGGGTGTGGGCCTCCGAGTCTGAGGCCTGCTTCCTATTTTCGTCCCATTTCTTTCTTGTTTTCTCAAGAGATAGAGACAGAAAGAAGCAAGCTAAAATTAGTAATTGGTACCGGGAGCAATGAAAGCGGATTATATCACTAACTTTATGATCAGTAACCATGAGTAATTTATTCACATAAGTATGGCATCTATAGGTGTTCAAATGGATTGGTTATTGTGGTAACCATATTATCCTGTGGTATTTGGTTAATTTGGTTTGATTAATTTGGATAATTGGTTTGGTTTTGTTTGGTTAAACAATTTAGCTTATTTGGTTTGGTTTCAACACTGCTAACCAATGAAACCAATTAACCTATTAATGATACACATAATATACAAAATTATTTATACTTTCATGCAACCAACCAAACCAAACTTTCATGATTCCCTATTTTATTTTCATGTGCACAACAAACCAAAACATTAATGGTCAAAAATTAAAGGGCAATATCTATTTTTTACCCAAACCTTTTTCAGATTCTTTTATTTTAACCAAACCTATTGAATTCATAAAAATTATCCAAACGTTAACTCTCCGTCAACTTTTCTGTTAGTAATGCTGACTAAGTATGACCATAATGAGTTGACTTCCTACGTGGCGGTCAGAATACCATCATTTACTATTTTTAATAAAAAGATATCAAAAAATAAAACAAAATCTCACCTCTCACGTGGACGAAATAAGTAACGGTAACAGAATGAATGCCCAGACTTTGATAAATTATAATACGTTTGGATAATAAATAGAATTTCTATAGGTTTGGTTAAAATAAAAGAATCTGAAAAAGGTTTGGGTAAAAAATAGACATTGCCCAAAATTAAATGGGCATGCCTATATTACCAAAACCAAAACATTTTGGACAACTACCCTCCTAATCTCTCCTCCATTTAGGGAAATGTTGTGCTTGTGTGTGTGTGGGTGGGGGGGGGAGGAATCGCATGATAGATGAGTGTGCGAATGAATGGTGTAGATGAATGTTATGGCCTATGATATGAATGCCCAAATTTTAAAAAATTGAGGGCTCCAAGCACATGTGTGTGAACGAATTGTCTATGGCCTACATTTTGTGTGTTTTGGAACCTTGATTATTGCTTAAAATTGAAAATTTTAGGGGTTCCAAACACAATTGTCCCAAGCATGATCTTTCTCAGTATGCTTAGAGTTGTTTGATGATTATGATGGTGTGAACTATTGGGAATAGTGTGGAACCATGAGAATCTTTGATAATGAGTGGCTTTACTTCGATTTCCTCTCGGTTGTGTGGAAGTGTTTGTTATGGAGGTTAGGACATGTGTGTGGGACTTCCCAAGTTAGGACTCCAATTTGTTTTTGCAAAAGGTGCTCCAATTTGATTTTTTTTTTTTTGACAATTGAGGTTCTCACGTGAGAGGCAACCATGCATAGTATTTGAGTTGAGTCGTCAATGTGCTCTTCTCCTGGCCCGGAGTGCCATTGAGGATGTGGTTCGGATAGCTTTCTAGCGTCCTGATTATCTTTCACTACATTTTGTACTGATTTGAGCAGGCTTGATTGGGCACAAGCAAAAGTTCAAGTGGGGGGGGGGGGGGGGGGGGGGGGGGGGTTTGCTTTTGGTTTGATTACACACTTTTATACCCATTTACTTGCGACGTTTGATGTGTTTGTACCATCCTTTGAGCTAGTTTACCCGGGTTTTGTTCGTGTTTTGTCATGTTTCAAACCTAAGTAGGTAATCTTGGCACGGGGATCGAAAGTCAGACAAAGAGAGCGAAAATTGTGCAAAATGGATGAAGACCGTGAAGCACATAATCATGGTTGCGGAGCATTTATCACGGGGCACAGACCTTGAAGTGAGCACTCAAATTGTGAAGATCGCATGATTTCAAGAGGATTCTTGCAGCTCGTGGGTAGTGTAGAGATCACGGTCTCCAAACCGTGATGTCAACTAGCATCCCATGAAGTTCGTTAGTGAAACAACGCATTTTGTGCCGAGATCATAATTTCACTGTCGACTTCACGGGTGTGATGTGAGACCGTGATTTGTGCACTTGAGACCTACATAAGGGAGATTTGGTTGATTTGAAAGAGGAGAGTCTTGGAGAGAGATTGGAGCTTCTTCTTCAAGGTTTAGAGAGAGAGTTACGAGCTAAGGAAGAAGGAAGGATAATTTCACCTACCCAAGGCTAGAGGAATGTTGGTTTCTTCTCCAAAGGTTGAATTAAGCATATAATAAGAAGGAAGATCAACTTGCAATGAGTTTGAACTATAATATGCCCACCGCTATTTTTCTGGAAAAAATTATTGAATATAATTTACTCGATTTGGGGGTGGGTAGAGGTGTCAATCAGGCACGTTTGAGTTGGGTTTAATCGGATTACGGGTTAGTCGGGTTTCGAGTTCATTGGGGTCAGTCGGGTTCGGGTTCAATCGGGTTCGGGTACAATCGGGTTACAGGTCAATCAGGTGGCGGGTTCTTCGGGTTGGAGGTCAATCCGGATACGGGTGTATCGGGTTAAGGTCGGCCGGGTTGCGGGTGGTTCGAGTCAGCACATTGTGCTGCTTACTCTTTCCACGTTATAACTTACACTTTATTTATTACACTGATTTCAAACATTTTTCACAATTTTTATACAATTTATTTCTACCTCGTATTCATATATGTACTTATAAGGTAGAACTACCTATAAAAGTTAATGTTTTTTTGTCAAAGTGCAACATTAATTTTGTATTCTTTTATATGATTAAGTTATTGCAATTGTATGACCTAACATACCAAGTTTAACTCTCAGTTTGAAATCAAAATTCAATTCGAATACAACTTAAATGTGCCAAAGTCTTACTTAGTGTTGTAAAGTAACAATCATGTAGTGTTGAAGTTGCAATAAACATAGAAGCATAGAAAACATGTAGACAAATTAAGTGAATTTTTCTAAAGCAAATGATTGTTGTAACTAATGGTTAATTTAGTTATCAACAATAAGCAATTACATTACTATATATAAATTTGAAGTAGAGTTACTGTTGCGTAAAAAAATACTACTTTAATCATTTTATACATTTTACATTTTGATACCCCAAATTTAATTTTAATGTAAAATCATTGAACAATTATGTTTTGGTATCTAAATTTCATGAGATTTCCGTAACTACAATTTTTAAAATTTACTATGTATAAATTTGAAGTAGAGTTATTGTTGCGCAAAAAATTTATACTTTAGTCACTTTATATATTTTACATTTTGATACCCCAAATTTAATTTTAATGTAAAATCATTGAACAATTATGTTTTGATATCTAAATTTTATGAGATTTCCGTACCTACAATTTTTAAAATTTAAAGTTGAAGTAGAGTTAATGTTGCATAACAAATTACAACTTAGTCACTTTTTACATTTTGATATCCCAAATTTAATTTTAATGTAAAATCATTGAACAATTATGCCAAAGGTATCTAAATTTTGCGAGAAGATTCGACCATTTTATATTTGCTCATTATGTGAAACATTAAATAAATGATAAAAAAGAGACAACTCTAAAATATTGCAAGAGCGAATTTGTAAACTCATTTAGTACATTTACCGGGTACTAAACAAACTTCTACTAACTACATATAACAAAATATGTGATATCTACATATGCAAGTGTTAATAAATTGTTACGGTGGAAAGGGTTGACTCTTGTATTGAAGGTCAACTAAAAGAATTTATCAAAACCTTTTCATCATCTACTTCCCCCTTCGTTTCATTTTTCACTCGCCTTCCATAACCCATTATTTATTTCTTTCTTTGCCTTCTTCGTCTAACCCTAATTAGTATAATATTTTTATGTATTCTAATCACAAGTATGAACGAGTCCAATTACGACTGAACAACAGTCTACAGAATTAATAATTGAACCTTGAACCACTAACTTTTTCAGCTCAATGTTGAGTCCAATTAAAAACAATTATATATGGTTATTACTTATTAGAAAGTCGTTATTTTCTACTATGGGATTTGAAGGCATGAAATTTTAAGCGAGTTCCAGTTTGTATTCCTTTTGCTTCTCTCTAGAGTTTTTTTTTCGTTGAATCAGTTGCTTTTATTCCAAGTAAACCGATACAACGAGGCGAGAAAATATCTCGATCAATGCAACAACTCCTACTACAATCAGCAACCAACAAGCTAGTCAACTACCAGAACTGAAAAAGAAGTAAATCTTCCTACAAGTAACCTAGCTCTACCAATATATCTCTGTATCCTCTATTTCCATAAGCTATAAATTGCCTATCATCCCGAATCAAGTCCGCCACCTGAGCAGGAGGACGACATTGAGATCCGTGAATAACACCACACCTCTCCTTCCATATGTATGTCACCAGCAGACACCAGATCAGACCATGCCACATTCTTGTTCTCGAGGTACCAACCTGAGTCATCGCACACAACATCTGTTCCCAGTCTGTTAGTAGCAGCATCTTACACTTTAGCTCATCAGCAAGACTCTTCAAATAAGCGCAGTGAACAAACAAGTGGTCTCTGCTTTCAATTGAGGAGTTGCATAGTTGACAGGATGCATCACTGACTTTGCCCCATCTCTGCAATTTATCCCTTGTAATAATAGCCTTCTTAAAATTCACCGGGCTAGAATTTTCCTCAATTATACATGGAATGTTCAACAGTTATACATATAATTTTTTTTCTATTTTCTATAAAAAAAAGTAAATAATTATCATCTTAAATACATCACCATAAAAGGAAATAAGCCTCAACTATGCAAATTACAGTTGGATACCTAAACTTAGTAGATCTTTAGATTTATAACCTAAATTTATTTTTTTGACATATAAGTCCTCAAAATATTTATGGAACATTACATTTTAGTACCTAATTTTTTTTTGTATTACAACTTAGTACCTTAACTATTGAAGTTCTATTAATAAGTATTTTTTTTTTGTATGCATAATTAAAACACCCTCGAATAAATGGGTATTCATATCCAACTCATACACATCTTTAGATTATGAAAATAAATATCCATACCCTAC